TGAAAAGTATTGCTCAAGCTTCCATTTCCCCTTTCAGTAAACATGCTCAGCTTTAGGGCTGCCGACTACTCTTCACTCTGCTCGCAGTGCAGGAAGTCCAGTCTGGAGTCTCATCCCAGGCAAGCCAGCTGGCACCCTCTGAAACCAGGAAAGGAGGATGCTCTAGTCCTTGCTTAGGACTGATCAAGCACACATTCCATGCCCGTTTCGTAAACTCTGCAATTAGCTTTCCTTCCAAACATGATCCTCTAAAACACCGAGAAACAAAAATAATTCCACCACATGCTTCTCTCTGGATCTTTAAAATAAGCTAACATGTTTTTCCCCAATAGGCAATGAGCTTCTTGCATGCTTTAATGAAAATACAAGAATGCATGATAACCATCTTTTCCAAGATTTATATTTTTTAGGGATAAACGAAGATGGATGACATAGCCATGAAAAAAAATAACAAGATTATGATCATAGGAAATCCATGCCTCTTTAAGAGGTTGAGCTTGGACATTTTGCTTTGAAATTAAGTTCCTTGGAAAAAGGAAAACCTGGTAGATAAGGGACAACTATAAGCGCACAAAGCTTGGACCCAAGGAAGAAAAGATCAGTGATTAATTGGACTTGAGGCTGGTCTGAATAATTTAAGGGTCATAGCTGCCTGACCCCAGAATCAGAAAGAAAGAGATTAAGGATTGTCAAACAGCCCCCTGAGAGCAAATTTAGGAAAATCTGTTTAAACGTTAAGTGTAGAACGCTTTTCAGGCAGCGAAACAAGTGTTATATATGTATTATCTTGCTTAAAACACTTAGCTATCCCAAAAGAGTGTTACTTTAATTTTCCTTCTTTAATAGTTTATAAAACCAAGGAATAGAAAGATGAAGTAAAATGACACAGTTAGGAAGTGGTGGAGTGGGATTCAGCTGGGACTATCTAACTGTGTCTTTACCACCACACTCAAGGCCTTTTACTCCTAGTCTGAACCCACCTCAGATAAATCCAGAAAGGGATTTTCAGTAAGGATGCCAATCTGAGGAGGGAGGAGGGACAGACAGACAGAGAAAGGCAGAAAGAGAAGGGCGCTCAGTCTCAGAAGATATCTTAGCATGGGAATGAATGCGCTGAGAAAGAGCGTGCTGGCCACAGCTATGGCTTGGAGTAGCCCTTATGGCTCTTTGGAAAGCAATTATCGCCTTCTGCTCTCGATGATTCTTGATACATTTGTACAAGGAGAAGACCATACATCCTCATCCTTGTGAAGACTGCTGAAAAACATGCACAACAGAAGTTTGCTTGCATTGCATATTTAGTGTATACCAATAAAGGTTTGAAGGAGAGCTGCCTTTAAATCAGGGTCTTGAATGATTCCATGGAGCCCCATACATTTAGATGGCTGAAGTTCAACTAAGACTTCTCTGATGAGATTAACAAATTTAGCACAAAAACGGAATTAGCATCAATGCTAATTGATCTGCTCTGGACTGCCCTTTCAGTTTGCCATCTTTGTGTCCATGGACAGTAAAATATTTACTAAATGAAGATTTCTGTGAGCAAAACATCTCTTTTCTGTTTCAAAAGTTTATATTGGGAGGGAGGGGTTCCCTACGCAACTCATCACTGACATAGAATAACCAACATTTGTAAAATTCTATGATGAGTTCTGTGACAGACACATCCCTTCTTCTCTAGATTCTAAAATGAAGCACTAGAGACACAAGAGTAAATGGGGAATATGCCAATTCAAAAAAGTGATATGAATCAAAGAGAAAAGGAAGTACCTAGAATGGGAAAATTTGCAACTTTAACTACAAATCTCAAATTGCCTATTCATTTGCCTATTAAGTAAAATACTATAAATATTCTGATGATATGCCACAATATTCATTTTCGTATGTAATATGAAAATGTTTTCATACACATATTAATTCCTATAAATTAACAGATGAAAACAGTGTAATTGTTTCTCAACAAAACATAATATCCTCTTTCAGGCTAACTTTTATCTACCAAGCACTATGGCATTTAAAGAGAAAGAGAAAATTTTAAGAGGATATAGTTCTGGTTCAATCACTTGTTAACTGTGTAACCTTGGGAAAATAATTTAACATCTATGAGACTCTTTCATTACCTTATTATCTCATGAGATAATGTGAGTGAAAGAGCTTTTAGAGAACTAGGAAAGTACATTATCTCTGCCTAGTAACTAATTTTTAATACTTTGATTATTACTACAAAAACTGAGTTGAATATCTACAAGTATCCATGAATATTTCTCAGTACAGTGGGGGATTACATTTCCCAGAATTCTATTAATATTTTATATTTTTAGTTCACCTTTGCTTTGTAGATAGAACCCTAAAGGTACTCTTTAAGTGCCTCTGCAAAATTATTAATTTAAAGCAACTCATCAATTACAAGTCTAATCCTAAAATTCTATGAGTTTTTAACCTTTTTGGGGGATGATGTAAAGTTTTAAATATCGGAATTGTTAACTAAGTCAAATAGTCATATTTAGAGTTACAAGAGCAATTTCCCAACACATTTAACTAGAATCTGAAAACAGGAAAGAAACCAACTGGGCATAAAACTGATAATTGCTAGCATTAATAGTATTTCTAAATTCAACATCTTTAAAAAATAAATCACTTTATAATTTAATTAGGTTTTCACCTAGAGGAAAAGTGCTAATAAAAGCTCAGATAAGAGAAAGTGAGCTTGGATAATTGGTTTAAAAAGAATCTGCATAATCATAGGGCTTAATATTTTTATCTACAATTCAGCTCAAAGTCATCAGAATGACTTTTATATCAAAGAGCTTCAGTGAGTGACAAGAGCAAGACTTGCTTTGTACTGTTTTAAAGTCATTATTCTATGAAATAACTCTAGCCTGCCAAGATGAGAAAGAATAACAGATGCTGCTTTTGCATTATCTGCATTATTTCAACCAGCCATCTTTAGACATTTGGGTCAAATTTCTAGAAATTTGTTACTTGCATTTGACAGAGGAATCACGTATCTTAACCCCTTAGTTTGACCTTTCTAATTGGCTTCCATTTGTAATACGTTACTTTCTTTGGCAATTATCCTTAAGCTGTTCCAAGTGTGGACTATTTTTTGCATGTACTAGGGCATAAATCAGAATATTTTAAAAGTTAAGATTTTTACCCAAAACAAACCAGCAAGAGAAAGTTTCTTTGCATGCCTAGTATATTATTATGATGGTTAGATTTTGAAGGTGTTTTAATATTTCATAAACTTTAAGTAGACTGAGGAAAAGTTATTTTGTTCAGATGTGTGTAATCATTGTTTTCCATTCTGTATGTGGATTTTATATAATATTTTTAAATAAAATTAAATGCCCTGAGAATGATACATTGGACTTTGGAAACTCAGGGGTAAAGAGGGAGTGGGTGGGGATAAAAGACTACACATGGGGTACAGTACACATTACTCAGGTGATGGGTGCACCAAAATCTCAGAAATCACTACTAAAGAACTTTCTCATATAACCAAATACCACCTGCTCCTTAAAAGCCTATTGAAATAAAAAATAAATTTAAAAAATTAAATACCCTACTTTTTCACAGTGATGCAGAATCTTTGTCCCTAAATAAATGAAAAAAGTCTAAAAAATGTCTTTATGAATACTATGTTATAGCTTGATAGAATATAGTAACCAGCTCAAAAAATGAAATAGGTAAATTGTTTAACAGTTCTTGCAATGGGTGATTTCAGAGTTTAACAAAGGATTTCTATTCATGTTATTAAACTGAGATTTTTAGTAGTTTATTATATTCAGATTGTTATTCTATAATAATGGGCAATATTTATTGAGCACTTATAATACACCAAATAGTATTCTAAGCACATTGCATGCATTATCTCATTGAATCCTCAAATAACTATAGAAATTGCTCAAATTCTGTCTCTTCCAAAAGATATTAACAAACCACCTTTAGATGTTAAGAAAAGTAAAATTATAAAAGTCTTACATATTAAACCAAGTGGTATTCTCATTGAATTTTTTTAAAGATCTATGAAATAAAATTATAAATAGTAAGTTTCAATTGATAGCTATCAAAACTTTCTATAACTTTGAAAATTGAAAATGTGATATTCCAATAATTTATTTAATACTAAAAGGAATAAGGATTAAAGGACTAACTTTAAAGAATAATTGCTTTTAAAATATTTTAATGTGAAGAAAATGAGTATACCACAGAAAAAGCTTAAAGCACCTTTAAGTGTGGTGCATATATACTAATACAAATAGAATCTATAAGTGGGAAAACTAAGCTGAACATACTTTATTATCTTTAATACGTTTTACTACTTCCCAGGTAATGGGAACTTGCATAACAAAGCAAATAAATAATTTGTAAATTGATTACAATACGTAAAACTGATCTAAATAAATTTTTGAGAATGCAAAATTAGTTTTCATAGTATTAAGTTATTATTTTTGATGTGACAAAAAAACGAGATAAAAATTCTTCAAATTAATCAAATAAAATTTATCTATGAAAGTCAGAGTCTTCTAATTATTGGTTTCTTCTCTCCCTACTTGTTAATTTGAAAATATTTTACATTACTGAGACCCAATTTTTGGTATTATGAGTAGCTTGTAAAATTAATAACTTCATCTACTAAGCAAATGCACAATCGCTATAAACTTATATGTTATGAAATATATTATTGCCATAATATTTCTTCTTACGTGGGCTGCTTCTAAGAAATAAATGGATGGCTACCCCTTTGAGAGTGCTATTTCCAAATACACCTATGCTTAAACTTTTTGTAGACTCTGTAATATCTTTTCAAGCAAATATTTAAATGATTACTTTTAGAAGCACACAAAATTCTCTTGGTTAAATGTACATATACTTTAAAAAAAATTAAGTTCTTTGGGCAAATTGTCTTACCTACTAATTTGGAAAATTACTTTTTCTGTTTTACAAATGTGAAATCTTTATAGCACCTTTAACAAATATAAAGTGGTTCTACTTACACTTGCATGGAGTTTTCCTTTTTTTGACATCGCTAAAAATTTGTTGCTGAAAACTCCTCGTATTCCTACAATCCCCTGAGACACAGCAAATATTTCCAAAATACCTAGGATGACAGAAATCCCAAAATAAAACAGACTCTTCTTTATATTATTGTGAAGAATTAAATTTCTACATAGATTCTTTTCATTCTTTATTATTGTGATTTAAAAAAAGAACTTTGTATTTAACATCCTTATTTTTCATGACATTCACTATGTACAAAAATAAACCTAGGATTCAAGATGATTTCGAGACTTAAAAATTTAATTCTACCTCATCATAATTTTTTGGACAAATAATTTGCTTTTAGTAAACAGTGAGCATGAGATTTTCTAAGATTTTAAGGGGACTGAGAAGACATTAAAAAAATGTTTATAATTCTCATCCATTGTTTCTTCGTCAAAGATAGTACACCACTTTGAATATTAAAGCACATAAATTTCGTGCTCAAGACTAGTATAACCATTTGAAAGCCTGGAAAATAATACTTATTTACCTTAAATAAATTTCTCTGCTCTAATCATCATGGTTTTAATGGTAGTAACAAATAAACATATACCATACTCAGTCTTTTAGTGACTACATTTAAAGACTGCATATAAAATACTGAAAGCATTATAAATAACTTGAAATTATTGGTTTAATTAAATGTTTAATAGATTATGCTTTGAGAAATCTTGCATTTTAAATCATTTCCTGGAAAAAAATTAATTAGATAGTTTATTACATTATTGTTTATATTTTGTATTTTATAGTTAGCATTATGAAGTCAATGTCTCTCTGTCTTCTACAGTAATTTCAAAGTTCACATCCACTGGATCAAGAGAATTATACACCACAGTTCATAGAGTATTTCAATAAGATAAAACTCATAGTCTGCGTATAATTAGAAAGCTTGCTTATTTAACACAAATGTATGTATGTTATATGAACATGAAAAGAACATAATGTTTTTTATTAGTTGTCTATTTCAAATTTTTTTAAAAGAGGTTTTTAGTTCAATAGACCTAAAAAGGGACTTGTTTTAGAAAGGAAAACGGGAAGCCAGGTGCAGTAGCTCACACCTGTAATTGCAGCACTTTAGGAGTCTGAAGCTGAAGGATTGCCTGATGCCAGGAGTTCAAGACCATCTGGTCGAAATAGTGACACCTCATCTCTAGTTTTAAAAAGGAAAGGAAGGAAGGAAGATAAGAAGGAAATAAAGAAGGGGGGAAGGAGAAAAGAACATCTCAATACTTCGATCTATAATATACTGAGCATATATTCAAATTAGGATATCTCAATAGGACTCTGCCAAATAGAGAAATTCATCATATTTTCTTGAAATAGAAGTTTCTCCCTACAGTATTTGAGGTACATATAAAACTATTCTGCTTACCAAAAACAAAAAATATTTTATAAATATATGTGAGCAACTTGATTGAGCACTTATATTGTGCAATGTGAGCTAACATCTGTAATTGTAGCAAGCATTGCTGTTTATTTATTCAACTTGGTTTCTTAAAAAACTTGATCAGAAAATTTATTTGAAAAAGGGGATAACTGAACAAATTTAAAAAAAAATGTTTTCAGCCCATAGTAAATAAAACATACCTTAGGGAAACTTCAGGTACTCATTCATTAATAGATGTTTCTTTAAATTGAAAAACAAAAACTAAAAACTATTGGAAACTACTTTTGCTTTTAGGAGTAAACTACTAAAAAACAAACAAACAAAAAACACTACTGTCTTATAAATCCTTTCCTTCAAAATGTTTTTCAAATGCTATTTATTATAGAATTTACTATGAACATTATTTGAGTATGATACACATCCAAAGGTTTAGAAGCATTATCATTTTATCAAATATTAACAAAGCATACCAAGTGCTTTGTAAAGTTAAATACTCTACACAGATGTAACATGTTATAGTAATATTATTACTAAAGGGTGACTGGAATGCTGATAAAAAGTTAAATTTCTATCAGAATTACAGGATGATACTGAGAATAGCATCAATGCTTTTAGATATTTGGGAGATGGGGGATGTGACTGTAAATATTTATGTAAACATGTGCATTCAAAAATGAGAAAGAAAGTGAGAAATTGTATATGTGTGAAATGATAGACACAAAAGGGACAACATGGAGTTAGTAGAGGAGAGATTTGGTTGTATATTTCCTCCAAGTTACTAATGGTGCTAGATTGTCAGAGGCTTTTAATTCCATTCCCTGGAAATTTTTCTGGTTTTGAATGTGAGATATATTGTATATTAATGAAAAATATATGGTAGAATAACATATTAAAGTCTCATAAGTATATGTGTTTGTATGCTAACTTTGAAGATGTTGAGATAAAAAGGCTTTATAAATATTTGTTTTAATAGAAATAATACTGCTTTGCTTAAATAAATAGTTTCTGATAACTAACTTATTCTCTTTTTAAAGAAAGATCCACTTAGAATCATTTAACTTGTATTTCAATACAGTGTACATTTTGTGTGTATATATTATGTCCAATTTGCATGTAATGAATTTTAAATATGGGGAAGATGAAATAATATATGTGAAAAAGTGTTATTATTTGATTACATATTGCATGGTTTCTTCTTAAATTTTCCAGGATAAAAATGATGTATTGCCTGAGAATTAAAGGATTTTATAATTTTAAGAAAATTATCTTTAACTGAAAGCTTAAAAATACGCTTTAGATATATCATTTTATTTACTATTATAAGGAATGCAGGAGATGTAAGAGATAAGATTGGATGGATGAATTACTTTTCACATAGGCAACTTTGGTATTGATCTTCTAAATCTTACTATTATTATGACCTAATAGTAAGAACACTCTTATGATCATAATTTCCAAAGTAATGTCAGCAGTGATTTCACAATGTCTTGTTTTTTAAAACACTGGAGCAGATTCAACAAGTCACATGATTCAGTTTCCTGCCCTCCTCCCCAAGACATCACAGGCCTATTGATTTTACTATGACAAATCTCAGTAACTCATTTAGGAATTCTACGTAATTTTTTAAACCCATATACATTAAATCACACATATACAAATTTCAGAAAACATTTCTTCGACACTATTTTTTTTTTAATTTCAGTAATTTTCTGACCTTTATCATTGGTAGTCAGATATATTAAATTTGACAAAAACTTAACAATTTTCCTTATGAATGCCAAGACAGTATCTCTAAGCAAAATTGTGGAAGGCCAAGCTTGTCTCATAGATGGTAGATAGTCCATGACTGTTTGCTAAATTTGACTGTCTTCTTTGATTCTCTCACTACCTCTTTTCTCTTGTCAGGACACCCCATGTATACACAAGTATGGACAGGTGTCTTAGTACTCTCCTGATACTACGGCCTTTTCCTGCTTTAGAAGCCATGGGTGGGGGTGGTTCAGTGTGAATTAATTCACATTAAAGTGCTAGTGAACCTGTGCTTTTTTCTTAAGGTGTTCCCATTTAAGAGGGTCAAAAGAAGAGGAGAATGCTTAAGAGAAGGAATTATTATCTCTTTGTGGGATTTCAGCATTGGCACCTAGGCTGAAGAAGGCAAGAATTTCTTGGTCTCTCAGTTTACACACACAGTCTATTCCACTTATGCATTACGAAGTAGGTTTACTTCTGAAAAAAAAAATTTCTAGATTTTTGTCTTAGTCCTCTGCAGATGTTTTAATATAATCGGGCTCTATTGATAGTGGTTGGTATAATTATACAAATTTTTCCTTTTTCTCTCTTTTGTTATGAATAAAATATAGAAAAGCATAGATATCCCATGTATTCAGAAACTTTCAACAACCCATCTGAAAATCCCCAGAGAAAAATATTTTAAAACTGGAGTTTCTCTACTTGCATCCACAAAGTAACAGATATGCTGTGCCAAGTTATCAAATCTGAATCTTGAAATATTCAGTTTAGCAGCCTTCACTGATTAAATTAGTAACAGAAATTTTCCACTTGACTTTTTTCTACATAGTAGATACAGATTCTGATTTATTTAGGCTTGGGGGACTGTCTAATGATTCCACATGACACCAAAATTGGTAGTGAATTTAGATTTTTTAAAAAAGCAGTAACATTGGCGATTCTATCAGCCAAAATATGTGCTTGGAATTTTCATATTTCATGTAATCGCATTGAGTTTATGTAGCCACAGCCTTAAACTTTTCTTCCCTAAATTGATTACCTATTATTCAGTGGCCCAAGATAAGTAAACAGAAGCACTGTATTGAAACTAAACTTGAAGACATATATAAACAAAGCAAACCCTTTGTTTCCATGCAATAGTTGGGTCATCTATCTTGTCTTGTTCATCTTTCTTCATCTTTCCACATGTTTCCTCATAATAAGGATTTATATACAATGAGCTTGATTTCATTTTCTGTCTTCAAAACTTGGGATAACTATTGTATAAGAGAAGCTAAGAATATATTAATTGGTTCATGTAAACTAAACAGAGTATGTTTGAAAGTCCATGGCCAGAATGTACTTCTGATGATGAAACCAAAAAATATTTGCAATTTGCAAAAATATAGATATAAAAGTTTACTGTCAAATAATAGTTGTGAAACACATATGTTTATCTGTCTATAAGACAAATACTACAGAATGTTATTAGGTTTAAAATAACTTGTTAGAATGAAGTTTCATGGCAAAGATTTGACTTTTCTGAAGTATCAGGCTTGTAACAAAAGGAATATGTTTTCTATCATTGCTACCTCACAGACAGTAGAATTAGATGATGAGATCAAACTGATGTATCCTCTGTGGATACATCTTGATCCGGCCCTCTCAGCCTCTTTGAGATTTAAACACACTTCTTCACATACTCTAAGAAAGGTCATGGCCAACACCCTAGTTAACAGGAATGTCAGGAAACATCAAGTGCTGCATTCAAAGAGGTAAATGACCAATTATAATTAGCAAGCTTCTGTTTCTCTTTTACAGCTAGGTAATGGCAGAGATCCATGTTAAATTCACAAATTACATGCAAATTCTTCATTGATCAATGGTAGTAAAAATTTTATGAAGTAGTTAGTATTAGACACTCCAGACATCACAAAGCAGAAAATCACTATGATTTAAATATTTGTTATGCTTTCTTCTGGGGGGGGGGGAACTCTATGGAAGACAAACAACACAAAAGTAACCAAAATATCATGCTTAATGAGATAGGTGTCTTATATTGGGTACATGAATGAATGAATCAATATGTGAATGAAAGCAAGTCATGTGAAAGACACAGAAACTAAACTCTGAAAGGTTACTGTAAAGAGGAAAAAATTAGGAAAAAGTCTAAATTAAGTTTTATTTCGGCACAGTTTTGGGAAACATCCCTGTTCTCTTGTAGATAGCTTTCAACATGGATTTTAAAAGAAAATGTACGTTTTACATACTGGGTATTTGTAAATGTCTGGTTTAGCTGGATGTATCCTTTTTGATGTGCTCTTATTTTCCTCCCTTTGCTTTTCTACAACATCCGCTCTAGCAAGGCCTAAGCTGTAAAACTATCTTTGTCTCTTACAGTGTCTTCCTAGAGAAGACGATTAATATCCTGGGAATGAGCCTTGCTTTCCGAGATCTCCATTACAACTAAACCCTCCCCAGAGGCATTTTCTGAGCTCCCTGGGCTCCAACCTGCCTCTTGCTGCCTGCTAGTTTGGGATCTCCCTTGAGCTCACAGAAGTTATTTTCTGTTGCTGCTGATTCCTGGATAAATTACAGGAATAACGAAAGAAAGAAAGTTTCTTGGGAGAGAGAAGGAAAGGTTGACTGAAGTGGAGAATAAGCTGTGATGGCTAATGGAGTCAAGAGATGGTTGAGACAAAATGAGAAGGACGAATGGAAACAGACGTTACTGGTTATTTCTCAAATCTCAGAAAATTCCCCTTCACCCCAATAGATTTTGAACTTTATCCACTCCCAAAATAAGTTATTTGATGAATGAAATAAACTCTAAAATATGGACATAGTTTCCTCTTGGGAGCCTGAGGGAGGCCCTGGGACTCACTGGGGAGCGCTGTCTCCAACTGGCCGCTCCAGTCTCCCTCACCACGTGCGCCGCAGGCTGCTGAATCAGCGCCACCAAATAGACTAGACAGGCGCAGGGGGCGGGCATAGACCTGTTCCTCTCTCAGCATGAACCATCAGGACTTCCACACGAGGCCCCCTAAACTCGCGGGAGGAGGCTTGCCAACCTACCACCTAACCCACTTGCGCAGCTCCGATCCCGCTCCGGAGACTGCTGGCTGCCAAAATTTCAGCCTGCCGGTGGCGTCCAGGCTCCTCTTAGAGCCCGTGAAAGAAGAAGCCCAAAGGCCCGCGGAGTCGTTGGTCTGGGATGGAGCAAGGTAGGTACATCTAGGAGCAACCAGGCTGACATTGAAAGACAGGTGACTATGCGCGCTGCTGTCTCCTGGCTACATTTCCGCTCTCCCTGGGTACCTGACAGGCCCTGGCTGACCAACCCGTGCTGGAAGAGGGATCTGGACCTACTGAGCAAAAGCCCCACAGAGATCCTTCTAGTCCTACACAGTCCCAAACCATCTCTGCCCCCAGCTGCCTAGAGGCAGTGAAGGGAAACCAGAGGAGTGACTGCGATGGTCCGGAAACACAGATGGGGTGGAAGGGAAGAGAATATGAGAAAGGAGAACAGAGCTCCTGCTAAAAGAGAAAACTCAGAGGGAAAATGTAAAACTTTGTTTATAAAAAGTCCTACAAAATTTACACCCAAACCAAATTTAACCTCTGTGCTTCTTCTAAAATAAGAAACGTTCCCCTCACTGTTCTAGGGTATCAAAGGCTGGCCACTCTCCTAACAAGGTGTAGTCATGGTCTCAAGATACTAAACGTTTCTAAATCTAACTCTGGAGTTAGTAATTACAATGTTTATCACGTCTCCCTCTCTAAACGTGTCCAGTTTTCCAGAGCACAATCTTCTTCCAAGCAGAAATGTCTTTCTGATGTCCCCTAATTATCTATCTGTCTGTCTATCTATCTATCTATCTATATTTTGTGTCTATATATACCTATGTGTATGCATTGTATACATAAACATATATATGTATATGCATATATATATATACAATATTAATTTGACGTTTATGGTAGCAGTTGGAAGAGGGAAGTATTTAAGATTTGATTCTTCTTTTTAAAAAATAACTTCAGTTATGGATATGGAGAAGGGCTGCACTTTAATGCCTAATTAAAAATGCCAGGCTAGTTCATAAGCAGAAGGTAAACAAAATGAACGAGAAGGAATGAGATTTTTTGTTCTCTTCCCTCATGGCTGGAGATTCGTCTTTGAGGCTAGGGCAAACTGGAAACAAGGTACCCGTCTGGGCACCAGCCTCTAGGTAACACACACCTCAGAAATCGCCATTCCTCATGCACAGGAGAGGGGTGCGTGTGCGCACACCATATAGGTGCATCTCCACCCAACCTGCCCGGCTGTTTCTGAGTATCAGCTCGTCCCAATGACACGGGCTCAGGAAGGTGCGCCTGTGGCCCGGGGAATACCTGCTGTCCCTCCGGAATCTTCCGCCGCCCGCCTAGGACAGGGTTTGTAGGAGAGCGAGTAACTTACTTAACATATTGGCTTCGTGGGAGCCATTGACTTTGCCATCCGGGTAGATCTGCAGATGGAAACCGATGCCCACTCTGCAGTAGAGGCTGCCGGTCCGGCGCCCCGAGGGGCTCCACTGGAAACTGCTCTGCTCCAAGCCACTTCCTTGGCTGCCCAGAGAAGCTGCGGGGGAGGAGGAGGCAGAAGAGGAAGACATAGCGCTACTGCCGCTCTGTCTGTTGCTGGAGCCTCTAGGGTTCCTATCACTGGCAGTGGGTCCGGATTGCCCTTTGGGGGCAAGGCGCTTCTCCCCTTGAGCCCAGGCGCTGAGGATCAGGTGGCTGAAGAAGAGGAGGAGAAGGGAGGACAAGCTCATTCTTCCAGCCGCGGGGGTCCTAAGTGCATCTTGCAGGGCTGATTCTGGGCTCTGTAGCCCCTGTGCGGCTGCGTGCCTCTGGCGCTGCCCGCCTCGCCGCACCGGGTGGACATAGCCTCGGGGATGAGAAGGGGAGAGGGGGAGAGAGAGGCCCCCGAGCGGATCTCCGCGCTGGCACCGGGATATTTATAACGCCAGTGATCTCACTGCTCCGTGCACGCCTGCGAAGCTTCCCCTCACCCGCGGCTTTGTGTACTCACCGGCCGGCGCGGGGAGGGAGCCTCGCGGTCCCGGGGGCGGGGGGTGTGAAGGAGGGAGGAGATCCGAGCGAGTGAGTGGGAGGAGAAGCTGGGCTGAGAGAAGCTGCGCCCCGGACGCTGGGTGCGCCTATACCAGAGCCACGCACCCCAGCAGTTCTCATGCGCAGCGCGGCCACTCCGCTTCCCGGACTAGGGCCAGAGCCGCGCAGAAACCACCTCTGCTTGAGCAGCGGAGTCCTCCAGGGGCAGCGACAGAAACGGGGGGTTGAAATGTGGAAATGGGTCCTCGTCCTCTCCTACCTCTACCGCACACTTGCGACTGGTCGACGCACTCTTTCCACCCTATTACACGATTTCCAGATTCTCCTCTCTTTGCCAGTAAACCCCGTTATCTCGTCCCCTCCCCGGGAGCCCTTCGAGAACCGCTTCCCGCCAGGAGATCCCACTGCTTCTACGGCTTTCGGCGGCAGAAAACCAAATAGGGATTCGTAGCCCAACTTGGGAAGGCTTTGGTGTGGCGCGGTTGAGGGAGAAGGCTGTTTTTGTTTTTACCGATTTATTAAAGAGCTAAGGAAAGGGTTTATTCAGCGTTTAAACGACACCCTGAGTCATCATGCCACGACTGGAGCTGCTTTCTTGTTGGAAACTCTCGGCTGCGCTGAATAGTATGACGAATTTCTTTTTTCCTTCTGGGAAGCTCTCGGCTTGTGTTCCTGAGAGCCAGGACACACGCACTCCTGCGCTCGGATCGGGGCAAGAGGTGCAGGGGCTGGCCACCAGCACAAGTGACTGACCGCCCAGATGTCCTCTTTCGCCCCAGGATCCCCCTGGCAGGGTTAACTAACCGCTCAATTTAGCTTACTCAGACCTGCCATTGACTGAAGGACCGAACCTATGAATGAATAATGACGTGCACGCTGGATTTCAACCTCAGGAAACCTAGAAGGGAGAATTTACTTGAGAACGGAGAATTTCCCTGTACGCAGCATCTGAGAAACACCTGACTTGCATTCTTGGAATGTTTCTGTCTGAAAACATCTTTGAAACTTTAAACTAAGCTTTGATACATTATTCATTTGTTATTTTAATGTAACTGCCGGTAACATTGACTGATAAGGTCAATTCACATGAGCCAAGGTTGATGCTAACAAACAACCTTATCCATTATTGAGTACCCACTTAAGGTTTCCCATCTCAATAATGAAAAGCATATGAAACTAATGTAGATTTTTCAGGATTGGAATCTTCCACCCCCAGAGTACTTAACATCAAGGTACTTGTAAAACAGAAGGTCACCTGGAAAACGTAGTAAAAACACTGTGGTAAAGAAAAAGGACATCACATATAGATTTGCATAACGAGGGCACCCTTTATGATATACCGTCCAGGGCTGAACACACTCCCTCTCCACTGTTCTAAGCTCAAGTTATCTACTTCTCCCTTAACTAGGATGGGTAGGCAGATCCTTACAAGGCAACCGGAAAAGTAGACACTGAGAACAGTCACAGTATCTCTCAGAATGGTCCACTTGACTGAAATCACCTTTTTTTCTGGGGTGGGTGATTGTAGGATGCTGAACCTGGGTGCTGTTCCTCCTTCAGATGATGGCCTGAGGTCTGTGGCAAAGCTGTCAGGGTTTAAGCCACATTGATGCTGCTGAATGCCATTCGTAAGTTCCCCAATGCCACACCAATCCACAACCCATTCCTCAAGTGACAAAGATTCTCCAAAGCAAATCCAGTTGCTTGTTTCTCTCCCCTTTTTTTTAACTCAAGGAATCTGCTGAAAGAGGAGAAGAGTGGTTCCTGCCCCTGCTGCACTATCAGCCCCTTGTCTAAACCCAGAATGTCAAGGGGACTCTGGGCCCTGGTTTCTGCAACTGATAGCCTTTTGCCCTTGCTCCCTTCTCTCAGTTTCTGCAGCTCCGCCTGAGCTGAAATAACCATCTTTGTTTCCCTCTTGATTCCCGCAGGAGCCGAGCTGGGGATCAAATCCTTGCTTAGGAATGACTCAGGAAGGCAAAGACACCTGCTCAGGCTTTAGTCTACCTCAACCTGGAGGATGGCAAGATACACTCTTCCGGATTCCAAGGCCTTAGAAAGAGCCAGAGGCTCACTAAGAGGAGAGAAGTGACCAGCTGTTGTGGGAAAGCATTGAATTTGGCAAAGCAGAACTCAGCGCCCAACTGTCTTCCATACTGAGGTGGGAGGCTTAGGGGTTGGGCAGACAGCGGAATGTGCCCACAAGCGCAGGGCTTAAAAGGAAGTCTCCATTAGTGAGAATACTGGTGTAGGGTGGTTGTTATTAAACTTTTAAACATTTTTGTTTTAACAAGAGGGTTATGTATTGGGGCCATTAATAAAGACCTGCAAAAGCTGAACAGTGAAACATGAAAGGCAGCACCCCGCTTGTTCCGTGAGCTGAGTTGCCAAGCCCCCTTCCCCCGCAGCTCCGCTGAGGAAAAGGTTGCGCTGTGCGCCAGGGCTGCGCCAGCCCTGTCTACGCTCTGCCTTCCACGCCGAGCAGCCTGTCTTCGCGAGCCTGTGACCACAGCAAACCTGCAGTGGGGAGTGTGGGGCGGGGAGGAATCTCAATTCACTGTCTGGGCTACCTCGAGCCCTACTCCTGTGAACTTCACCACAAATTGCGCAAGCCTACACCACATTTTCTCTACTGCTGACATCTCTGCTTTCCCCAGTAAGCCTCGAAGGTCGGCCCACATCTCCTGGGCACGAGCGGATTTGGGCCCACAGCTCGCTTCTCCAATTGCTCCGTTCTCCCAGCCACGAAAGCAAGTTTGGGAAAAAGTGCATGCAGCTGGTTTCCTGCAGAGGTAAAACAAATGGGCCCCGAAGATTAGTTTCCACTCATCTGCCACCTGACAGAGGATGGAAAAACTACCCAATAGATTGATAAGTTCCACCAGTCACCTAGGCGCCAGGCCGTGAGTGCGTGGGCCTCGGCTTAGGTGTCCCCCTCACCCCTTGGGCTCACTTTCTGCAGTGTCTCACCTCGCTAGGCCTCACAATTCCTAGACCAGCCCCTTCAGGCTTACTTTTCCAGGAGCCCAGCATCTGAACTCTCTTTCCAGGCCTCCCCTATTTCTGTGTTGAAAACTGTTGGTGAATTTCCCCCTATCTCTTTTGTAACTACAAGTGTGATCTGGTTACTGGAGACAGAAATCAATCCAAAAGAAGGTAAAATTACCGGCAACCTCAGGCTGCAACCCAGAAGCCTAAGAAAAGAGAAGTCATGGTGAGTAAGTCAGTGACCAAGATTTCCTTCACCCGAGACAATCCCAATATTTACAACATTCCTCTGGGTTTAAACTGAGGCCAGGCCTCACTGAGAAGACGGTTCTGAAGGCAAGACTGTTCATCCTACAGTGTCTCATGCTGGGGTGGAAGGACTGATGAGAGATAGATGATGGAATAGAATGAACAATCCTGGCAATGCAAGCCACTGTCCTGGGAGGTTGTCTGACCCAGGACCCAGACTGCCACTGTGCCAGGCAGATCTTACACAGATTTCTGTTCCAAGAGCCTCAGTCACCCCAAAATCTCCAGTCCTGGAGGTGCAGGTACTATGAAAAATTTGCCTGCTCTTAGCTTAAAATGCCTGTGCAGTTTAAGCCAAGGCCAAGTTTTCTTTTATCCAAAGGACGTCTAAGGATTTTTAGAATGCTTTTCTGGGAGAGCTGTTTCAAACATGGCCTGAAAGGCCTCTGCACCCCGCCCCTACCTAACTCTCTATGCCTATCACCCTTTCATACTCTTAGGCTATACCGGGATAGTACCCTCTTTTGCTAATCATTTCCCTGGTAGCCCCACAGTGGCCTCTAATCTCATACACTTTTTAATAGAGACTGCTATGGACTGAATGTTTGAATCACCGAAAATTCATGGTAAAACCCTATTCTTTTATGTGACCATATTTGGATATGGGGCTTTGGAAGGTAATTAGGTCATGAGGTTGGAGTCCTTATGATGGGATTAGTGCATGCCCCTCCCCCTCTCCCTTATTAAAAGAGGCAGGAGAGAGCTTGCTTCTTCTCACAACCCCTTCCACATCCCTCAAATAAGGAAACAAGGAAGAGATCCCTCCATGCTGGCACCCTGATTGCAAACTTCCCAGCCTCCAGAACTATGAGAAATATGTTTGTTGTTTAAACCATTCAGACCGTGGTTGTCTTTTATGGCCCAAGCCAACTAAGGCAGAAGCACAGAGTGTTGCAGGACTCGGAAACTAACCTGGTGGGGGCCTGTAGTCCATGTTCTTGCCAGGACCCTCTATTTCCTCCAGGCCTGGCTTCTTACCAAACCAGTTGGCAGCAACTGCATCAACAAATAGCCTGTGGCTAAAGGAGCACTGAACTGGGAAGGGCTGGCTGTGTGAGGAGGAACTGAAGACGAAGAGGGACAGAAGAATGTGTGCAATGTCTACTTTAGGGTGATGAAGGTATAGTTAGAAATTGTGCAAGTCCTGAGGTTAGACTTCTTTCCCCAGGGTCTAGTACTTCCCTGTGAGGAGAAGCCTGTTTTGAAATGGCCATTGGCCACTGGGCATTATATCTATGAAGTCAGAAAATAAAGCAGCATTTGCTACTAAAAAGATGTATTTTGTGACCTAAGGGGACTGAATGCAATCAGTTTTTCTCCTAAAGCCCAGCTCCTGTGCTTTCCAATTATCCCAGTGACTATTTTTGTTTTAGCTCCTGGTACATCCATGCACTAAGCCCCAAAGCACTATAGACCCCCAGTTATCTTAGCTTGCATTATCCAATTGAAGGGAAATAATTGCTCTTAAGAACTGGAAGCCCCTTATCCTGTCTATGGCCATCCATAGAAGACAAAGGATACATTTCCTTGCTCCTTCATACTCATGTATGAAAATCATGATTTAAAATCACACCACCATCCCCTGCCCCCGAAATAAAGTCCTCTTTGCTCTTTGTAATGCGTTTTCTTACTGGCACAGTCTGTATCTAATAATGTCAAAGGTGATATTCTAAACATATGTGGAGGGGTGTAGTACTTCCAGTCTTTTT